AGACTAGGGGGAGGGCCTAGTCCAGCTGGCCCAGACCCTTTCTTATCCCCACAGGGTCTTGAGAAATGATAAGCTGTTGTCATTTAAAACTGTTGAATTTGTTATGCAGCAACAGCTAACTGATACAACAGACTTACAGTGGAGACAGAAATCCAGACAAAGAGTAAGTTAGCAGGAAAAGAAAAGCCAATGAGACAGAAAGGTGGAAAGAGCAAAAAGCCATGAACTCCAAAAGCATGAAGTGAGCCCAAGACATGTTTTATAGCGCTAAGTGCCAAAGGCACACCACCCTAAACAATGTTGGAAAGGACAGGATTCTGATGTGTTGCTAAGATGTTAAATCCCCTTCTGTCAATGTTAGTGACTGGTTCAGTTTGGCAAGTATCTGTCCCTGCCCAGTAAAGTACCCTCCTCATCCCCCTCCTATATAGATATCCTTATATAAAAGTCTGATCTTGATCAATCCTAAGGTGTCACCATAGTACAATGAAGAAGGCTGCCCTGCCCAGGTGTGCTATAGGCACTGCACAGTCTCTATTATAATAAAGAGCACATTTGTACTTAATTCTGTAGGAAGGAATCTGCACATATGCACTGCTGGTGATTTGGACTTTTTATGAGTTAACCTTAAGTTCAGATGTCATCCAAATGGAGGCTCAAGAGGAATGAGATTCAGTAGCTTTGGTGACACCACAGTGAAATGATAATTGGGACATTAGAATCCACCCCCACTGCACACAGAGAGATGAAGAGAAAAGGACCAACACCATAAAGCTCAAAGGCAAGACTGACCACCTGATCAGAGGGGCAAGACTAAACTGTCACTTGATTGGCTGTCTTTGTCTCCCCTCTCCATATGATCTGCTGGCTAAGAATGAGAAGACGAATCCTTATGGTGTCAGTCCACTGTGTCTCCTTAGATGATTGGCTTTCTGAAAATAGCAGTTAAAGACTCAATTCCCAGCTTTTGCCGAGGTGTCAGGTAGCGCAGATCAGTCACAGTTGTGTTGCAATCCATCATCTTTCTAAGGTCTCTAAGTCTTTCTCCAAAGAATACTGGGGCAAAAGCTTAAGAACGCTCTCTCTCTCTCTCCTTCCCTCCCTCCCTCCCTCCCTCCCTCCCTCCCCCAACCTCCCATTTTAAGGCTCTCACCACTGGGCTGGGGCATGGCTCAGTGGTAGAGAGTAGCTTGTTTAGCCTATACAGGTACTGGGCTCAGTCTCCAAACTGTCAAAACAAAAAATAAAAACCTGCCCTCACAAAAACAGTCCAAGGAGTCAGTGTTCCCCTCTGATCACACTTCCATTGGAGGAGGCTGCCAACCATGTATGACAAGCCCAGCATGAGAACAACTGAACAGTCAACCCAGAAGCAAGCCTCAGCACATCTCCTGTAGAGCCGCACTTCACAAGAATCATCACGTCTTCAGGAGTTATTGTATCCAGTTTTTTGTTTTGTTTTGTTTTGTCATCTTTGCAATGGCTCTGCCCTACTGTATTAGCTTCTTTTCTATTGCTGTGATAAAACACCACGACCAAGGCAATTTATAGGAGGAGTTTATGTGGCTGATGGTACCAGAGGGATGAGTCCATTGTGGTGGGAAAGGTATACTGTCAGAGACAGCTGGAACAGCAAGTTGGGAACTCACATCTTCAAGCAGGCACAGGAAGAAGAAGAGGAGGGGGTTAGGGGTAGGGGGAGAAGGTGACGGGGAGGGACAGAGCGAAAGAGTGAGATTGGAAATGAGGCAAAGCTAAGAACTCTCAAAGCCCACCCCTAGTGACATGCTTCTTTCATCAAGTCCACACCTCCTAAACCTCTGCAAACAGCACCACCAACTGGGGCCAAGTATTCAAATACTTGGAGCCCATGGGAGACACTCCTCATTCAAACCACCACACATACCCCATGACTCTAGGGTCACAACCAATGGACTAGCTCAATCTGAGTACAAGATACTACCCTCATCTCACACTAATAACAAACATTTCCTCCTTTCAGAATCCTAGGGGTTCTGAATCCTAAGGTGCCCACATGCAGCAGCACCCCACAGCACATCAGCCACACAAACTGTTACCAGAGTTTTAGGGGGAAAATCCAGCTCTGAAAGCTACAGTGGACTAGTCTCAACCACCCATTCCAATATGCTGATTAAAGAGATGAAGAAATGGTGAAGAGCAGAGAGAAGAGATCTAATCGTCATGCAGCAAAGAGGAGCAAATAAAGGGATCTAGGTATCATTCTGAATACTAACGTGAGCTTTAGGTTTAAATAGAGGAAGAACTGAGGCAGGGGCAAAAGGTATGTTTAATCAAGCAGTCCTGGTCAAGTGTGGTCACATCGTCGTCTCAGCCCAGGTCCTGAAAAATGGTCCAAAGAGGTTGTTAGTGGTGCCATCACTTGATTATTTCTTCTCCGAAGTACAGCCTCACCTTCATGGATAGTGCCCTCAGCTGAGTCATGGTCTTTCCCAGGAGGATTTATGATCCCTGAGATCCAAGGTGACTATAAGTTTCAGACAGTGAGCCCCAACTTCTCCATCTATGAATCTGGCTGAAAATGATCAACACAAAACACAATTCTTGCTCTAAACAGAGTAAGAAATTATTTATTCTGAGCCAAACAATACAGATTCAAGTTCTCCTATATGATATATTCCATTGTAGAAACAGTTACATGACTTTCTTTAAATCACAGGATAAAACGAAATCATAAATCGATGCATTTGCCAGATACATTGCTGATGGAATCAGTAGGCGGGTTACAGCAAAGCAGGGAAATCTCTTCCATAGGCTTCAGACGTCATAACATTCTTAGCTTTGGGGTTGGTAGAAGCTAGTGGTCTGCTAAGTTAATATATTCCAAAGGCTTTATCTGTTAGGTCAGATGCAGAGTTTGGTGATAGATAGCTACTAGGGCAACTAAAGATAGCCCAAGATAAATCTGGCTCTCAATCTTTAACATTCCAACTCTCCACAATCATGAAGATGCAGACCCTACAACATAAGTATGTTTTTTTTTCCTATGAATTTAAGTTCATAGACCCAAACCTCTTGTTCTCTTTGTTGTTCTGAGATGGAAGCGGGAATTTATCCACTGGGGCTACCAAGTGCCACACAACTGTCAAAGCTTAGAACACATCTGTGTTGAACTATCTTCCCTAGCCCCCACCACCAAAATTAAGAATTGCAGATCCCCTTCTGTTATTCAGTGTGTTCCCAGAGATAGAAAAAAACCTGATTCACCTCATTCAACACATGGGGGAACTCAGAAGCTGGGAAGCACCATTCATGTAGCCCACCATGAACTTGATTACAAGGAGGAAGCAGAATTCATCATTATTACCAAAATTCCTCATTCATAATAATTCTTAGCCAAAAAGTATTAAAGGCTTTAGATATACAAATCTAAAAATATTGCACAACATTTAATGTTAGAACTCCATTTTTTAATTTTATTTTATGTATATGAGTGTTTTGCCTGCATGGGTGGTAAGTGCAATGCCCACAGAGGCCAGAGGAGGGCATTGAATTCCCTGGAACTGGAGTTACAGATGGTCGTTAGGCACCATGTGGGTGCTGGGAACCAAACCCACATCTTCTGCAAGAGCAGCCAGTGCTCCTAACCGCTGAGCCATCTCTCCAGCCCGAGTTTGCTTCTGAAATACACTTTAACATAGATTGTTCTCTCCTCCTCCTCTTATGTGAGGAAGTGTCTCCCACTGTCTTGCTTACAGACTTCCAGCCTCTTCTCTGTCCTTCAGTACACAGGACACTGGACGAACATCCAAGGCAGGATTATGACACCTGCTCTGAAAGCCTCTTGTGCTGGCTCTGGTGACCCTCACTGCTTGGGCGTCCCTCCTTCTGTGGGTTAGCTGTGCTGGGATATCCGGCCAGTTCAACCCAGGGATGCTGAAGAACCTGGTGGGCCGTGTACCGCTTCTTGGGATCCACCACCAGCAAATGTTTCACCAGATCTTTGGCAGCTGTGCGAGGGAGAGAAATCGGGAAGAATGGTGAGTGCTGGTGGCTCTGAGTTGTTCCTCCCAATACCCGAGGTTGGAGCTCACACACCCATCACGGCATCATGGGTGGCTGACGGGCTCTTCCATATTCCAGGGCAGCATGGAAGCATTCCAGACCTGTTCTAGCCACTCGTGATGACAGCGTTGGCCACCTGGCTAGGCTACGGGAGGATTGCCATGAGTCTGAGACCAGCCTAGGTGAGCTACATAGTGAGTTCCAGGCCAGTCTGGGCTACAGAATGAAACCACCTCAAAAAAACAATTCAAGAAAAGAAAGGAAGGAGAGGAGAAAGGAAGGAGCAGGGAAGGGAGGGAAGAGAAAGGAAGGGGAGGAAAAGGAGGAGACGAGGGAAGAGGAAACGACAGAACAGAAGAAGCGGAGAAGGAAAGGAAGAGAGATCTGGCTACTGATACTGAATAAACGAAGTCCTTTTTATTAACTCTGAAATAACTCACATTTAATTTAGCCACCTGTGGCCAGGGGTTACATGGCCTAGCCGTGGAGGACATGTATTCCTTTATCTTAAGCTGTGGGGCAGGCTCCCTCCCTACATCTGTATTCTCAGATCAAGAAACAGACACCACACACCACATCTACATAGTTTAAAGTACTTTTAAAGCAAACTAACAAAGTTTTAAATAAAATACGTTCACTTCTCCTAAGTTCATAAATATTTCTGCGTACTGACAAAACTGGAAAACATGTAAAGAAATCTAAGTAATAAATAACACTAATTCAAGTGAATTTCATTTGCTGTCCAGGGTCATGCTGGGCCTAGATAGACATGGTGACTGTTAGAACCCAGACCCTCCAGGTACTGCTGGGAAAAGCCTCACAGATCATGCCCACAGAGGCCAGAGGAGGGCATTGAATTCCCTGGAACTGGAGTTACAGATGGTCGTTAGGCACCATGTGGGTGCTGGGAACCAAACCCACATCTTCTGCAAGAGCAGCCAGTGCTCCTAACCGCTGAGCCATCTCTCCAGCCCGAGTTTGCTTCTGAAATACGCTTTAACATAGATTGTTCTCTCCTCCTCCTCTTATGTGAGGAAGTGTCTCCCACTGTCTTGCTTACAGACTTCCAGCCTCTTCTCTGTCCTTCAGTACACAGGACACTGGACGAACATCCAAGGCAGGATTATGACACCTGCTCTGAAAGCCTCTTGTGCTGGCTCTGGTGACCCTCACTGCTTGGGCGTCCCTCCTTCTGTGGGTTAGCTGTGCTGGGATATCCGGCCAGTTCAACCCAGGGATGCTGAAGAACCTGGTGGGCCGTGTACCGCTTCTTGGGATCCACCACCAGCAAATGTTTCACCAGATCTTTGGCAGCTGTGGGAGGGAGAGAAATCAGGAAGAATGGTAAGTGCTGGTGGCTCTGAGTTGTTCCTCCCAATACCCGAGGTTGGAGCTCACACACCCATCACGGCATCATGGGTGGCTGACGGGCTCTTCCATATTCCAGGGCAGCATGGAAGCATTCCAGACCTGTTCTAGCCACTCGTGATGACAGCGTTGGCCACCTGGCTAGGCTACGGGAGGATCGCCATGAGTCTGAGACCAGCCTAGGTGAGCTATATAGTGAGTTCCAGGCCAGTCTGGGCTACAGAATGAAACCACCTCAAAAAAAATAGCAACTAATTGTTACTAACACTTCCTAGAAGGAGGAGGGAGCAGAGGGTCACAGGACTCACACCTGGGAGTCCAGCCATTATGCCTTTCTGCCCTCCTCCAACTGTAAGTGGTCTTGGGAAATGCTTGAGTGCACAGGAAACGAAGGTTAACAGAAAAGGGGAGTTCATGATGGGGTGGGACTATGCAGTGATACAGCTGTGTTGGGGTCACCAGGTTCCTATAAACAACCCCTCACCCATGCTCTATAAGTGAGCTCGACAAATTCATTGTTTCACCCAGTTAGACTTTTACGGAATTGTGACTCTGGTCTATTGCCAGTACCCTGCCAGACCTAAGTAGATGTTTGTTCCTGTCTGTGGAGATCAGACTGCACTGTTCTCTACATTGTTTAAAGCAGTGGCTTTTCAGACTATACCTTGCCTTGAAAGATTTCATTTGTTTGTTTCTTTGTTTCTTTGTTTTTTGAGACAGATCTCTGGAGCACCAGCTGGCCTGGAACTTGCTATGCCAATCAGGCTGACCTCAATCTCACAGAAATCTGCCTGCCTCTGCCTCTGTCTCCTGAGTGATGAGATTAAAGAGGGGCACCCACCAAGTCCAGTGAGAGACTCCACTTTGCAAGCAGATTTTAACTCCATTCTGAGGACAGTGGATGGCCGTGCCCCTGGATGACTGTGAGTGAAACCATCTGTCCAGCAACTCAGGAGGCACAGACTCAGAAATAACTTATTCCTGGGAGTAGAAAAGGTGCCGCCTTATAAATTTATCAGGGTAAATTGAGACTTTAGGCATAAATGGGTGTATTAAAATTTTATCAGGGTAACCAGGAACTTATCAGACACACCAAATTGAGGAAAGAGTGTTATCTCCCTTACTCGGACCCATAAAGAGGTGGCCATCCAGCCCTGTGATGACAACAGCACCTCATCAACCTGTCATCTGATTTGTGTTGTGTACATCAAGGACACAGGCAGAAAACTTCTGACTGTCCCCAGGGCTTCAGCCCTCTGTTGATGCAGGATGCTTTGATCCTCTGTTGATGCAACTCAACTGCTGCCTGCCCGTCCTCCTGCTCACATCTGGATCTGCCCGTCCTCCTGCTCACATCTGGGTCTGGCCATCCTCCTGCTCACATCTGGACCTGCCCATCCTCCTGCTCACATCTGGGTCTGCCCGTCCTCCTGCTCACATCTGGACCCGCCTGTCCTCCTGCTCACATCTGGGTCTGCTCATCCTCCTGCTCACATCTGGATCCTCCCGTCCTCCTGCTCACATCTGGACCTGCCCATCCTCCTGCTCACATCTGGACCCGCCCATCCTCTTGCTCACATCTGGATCCGACCAGTAGGAAAAAAAGATATCCATCTATCTACCCTCTCCGTCGCTCCCCCACCTGTTTGCTGGCTCTCCCCGATTTACGGAGCACGGGGAGAAAACACTCATGTTTTCACCTTTACTGAGCCTCTTACTCAAGATCAGCTACTCCCACACCAGTCAGCCCCTCCCCATATGTCCTTCACAGCCATCTCCAGAGCCTGACCAGTAGGAAAAAAAGATATCCATCTATCTACCCTCTCCGTCGCTCCCCCACCTGTTTGCTGGCTCTCCCCGATTTACGGAGCACGGGGAGAAAACACTCATGTTTTCACCTTTACTGAGCCTCTTACTCAAGATCAGCTACTCCCACACCAGTCAGCCCCTCCCCATATGTCCTTCACAGCCATCTCCAGAGCCTGGAAGCCACAGATCCTCCTGCTCACATCTGGACCCGCCCATCCTCCTGCTCACATCTGGGTCTGCCCATCCTCCTGCTCACATCTGGGTCTGCCCGTCCTCCTGCTCACATCTGGACCTGCCCGTCCTCCTGCTCATGCATCTGGACCTGCCCTCTATCCATCCACCTGCTCTGGTTCTGGACCTGATCCTACCCTTCTGCCTTACAGCTAGACCCAACTCTGCAACTTCCCTCTCAAACCTGTGACTCTCTGTAGACTGACTCACAACAGCAGCCTCTTCCCAGCATCTAATTTGGGTTGCTTGTCTTATCAATATAGACTCTATTTACATTTCTAACACCCCACTCTGAAACCTCTTGAAACTCTCCTGCAACCCTCTTTAACCTTTTATATCTCTTCTAATTAGCAATTAATATATATGTGTATATGTCTATGTTATGTGTGTATTTACTGTGTGATACATGACATGGGAGTTAATATTAGTAGTTAAGCTGGAATAAATGAACATGGGCTCACCTTGGCCAGACTGCCAAGGGAAGCACAATTATCCAGCAAATTGCTGCCACTGAAACTGCTTTGTGAATTTATTGTTACTCAATAAATTCTGACACTGTAGAAGGAGACACAAGCATGTGTTTACCCTGCGTGCACAGGACAACGTCTCCCCAGCAAAAGTAAATAAAACATTACCCCGTCTAAGTTCCCAGAGGATTCAGAGGTCAGAAGGGCAGATTTATTGAGAATCCTCAGAGTCCCTCATCCATGCATGAGGACAGCTGAACACACCACACCAAGCTCTCCACAAACACACACACCCTAAACACCTCTCCATGCCACCTTTTCAAACAGTTGGAAGAAGCCTCACATCCCTCTTTCCTACATGGGAAGGCCCCAAATCTCACCATCAGAGATGCTGTCCCAGTAAGGGGCAAGGAACTCGAAATGGCCCAGCTGGATGATGTTGAAGAGCTCATCCTGGTCCTTCTCAGGGCTGCGGAAAGGGGGGAAGCCACACAAGAGGATGTAGAGGATCACACCTGCAGACCACATGTCCACCTCCAGGCCATAACCTGTACAAACACAAGCAGAGACAAGCAAGCCTGAGACAGGCAGGTTGAAGATGATGAACCAGATAATGTCTCCAGAGAAAGCTTTGAAACTTGTCAGACAACCTTGGAGGAGAGACGGGAGCTGGGACAATGGTGGGTGGGAAACCATACTTTGGCTGGAAAGCTTAGTTACATAGTCTCTTATCTTCTATTTAAACTTTACTCTCATGTTAGGACCTAAAGACAGACTTGCGGGTTCTGGACCTCTTTGTTCTTCTTCATCATGTGACCACATTGAATAAATCTCCTTCTTCTGTCTCTCATTATTAGTTTGGCTCTTTTAATTGGCTTACTGAGGCTAGGTAACTGATCTGGGCTGGTTGGAGCACAGGTTGTGACCCTACGTCCCCAGAGAGGGCAGTAACAGATATACAGAGGGACAAGAGAAGCATGTGCTTTTGCTCAGCATTGCTTCTTGCTGCTGAACGCACCTATCCCACTGGGGTTGCCGACCCAACAGAGCTCAACTTCTTTGGCCTTCTGATATAAAGACCAGCAGCTCTCTGGGAATCCTCCAGGCCTCTAGCAACACACGGAGCCACTGAGGCATGTAGTCTCATAGATTGAGCAGCTTCTAAGTTCTTAGCTTCTCCTGTGTAACCACTGATGGACTACCCAGCCCACACCATGTAAACCAATCTAATAAGTCCCCTTTTGTAATATACATTCAGTCTACCAGTTCCGTTCCTCCAGACAATACCAACTAATAGGGGCGTGTTTGGAAAGACATTGAAATTTGTTATGGCTATGACATCCAACTGTGATAGATAAATATGTCTTATTGAACAGACATAGACTACGTAGTCAAACATATGTGATACTCAGCTGTGGAATGACCTGCCTTCTTGACACATGCTTCCAGACCATGCATGAGCCCACACGGCATTAGGAATTTATAAACACCAGAGATAAGTTTCCAGAGAAGCCCTAGCCTACACTAGCCTTCTCTTGTTTGATGTCTATTCAATATCTTCTTTCTCATTAAAAAAAAAAAATTCTATTGGGGCTAAAGGCTGGCCCAAGCATTAAGCGCACTTGCTGTTCTTCCAGAAGATCCAGGTTCAAATCCCAGCACCCACAAGGTGGTTCTATTGCCCTCTTCTGGCCTTTGAGGGCACTACACACACACACACCAGTAAACATTGGCCATCAAAACACTTGTACAAATAAAAATAAATCATTTTTTAAATCCCACTGGCCTTTTTAATGATTATTAAAAGATCAATGTTTGTTTATTAGCTGAATCGTGCACACAAATGTGCATGTGCATTTGCATGCACCACTGTATACACAGATGAATACCTTTTTAAAACAAAATTAGGATCACACTGCATATATTCTCTCTTCTTTTAATCACTTGGTATTATATCATGGTTATTTCTACATGAAAATTGCCTAAGAAGAATATTTAAAAAAATATTCTTTTCAAGCATTTCTAATAGCTCTCAGAATTCCCTTT